ACAAAAGGAGGCCTGAGAGGTGATCTCGCAGCTGCCTACAAACTCATCGGGGGGGCCAGCAAGAAACAGGGGATACAATGTTTACCAGGGCACCTGTCGGGGTAACTAGAAATAATGGCCACAAACTGGAAGAAAGCAAATTCAGATTGGACATCAGGAAAAAATTCTTTACAGTGAGGGTTGCCAAAATATGGAATAAGCTTCCAAGGGAGGTGGTGCTTTCCCCTACCTTGGAGGTGTTTAAAAGGAGACTGGACAGACACCTGGCTGGGGTCACCTGACCCCAGCTCTCTTTCCTGCCCAGGGCAGGGGGTTGGACTCAATGATCTAATACGTCCCTTCTGACCCTAACATCTATGAAACTATGAAATTATTTATGACTGATGATTATACTGCTTATTATATACCACCTGCCAGAACCCTAAGGGGTGGGGAAATAAACAGCACCTTTCTTGGGTATCAGAGTCACAAAGAGGTGCAATGACTTGTCCAAAACCATCCACAGAAGTGATAGCAGAGCTGAAAACAGAACCCAGGGGCCTGAAGGCTGAATGTTCTCTTTCCCCCCTGCCTAAAAGAGAAAGCCTCCAGTCTGAGTGCCGCAACCAAGTGATGAACATTTGGTTTCAAGGGCACCATTTCCCTTATGGGATCCCTGCACTAGCAGGGGTGTCCATGCTGCAGGGTGCACAGAGGCTCCTATTCCTCACAGCGCTGTCTGTGCTCCTTGCTGCATCTGTTGCACCTCATTCCCACAGCTGCAGCCTCCCCACCCTACAGCAGTTCTCAGTGATACATGACACAAGGGGCCTGAGCCACCTACCATTCCCTTCTTGAGGGCACAGCTCACATGGGTCACCCCAGCCCTCTCCAGGCATCTTGCTGCAGCAGCACCGGGCTTTGGTGGTATTGAAGGCCTTGGGGACGGAGCATTTCCCATTATCAAAGCGGGTGAAGCAGAAGCTCTGGCGAGTATCTGCAGCAGGATGGAGCAGAGCACTAAAGACATGCATAGGCAGGCTCAGTGTATCAGACATTCCCTCCCAGACTTGGACTGTGGCACAGATCAGCTCCCAAAGGACAGAGGCCCTGGCTCTTGCAGAGCAGTGCAGGAGGTAATGCTGGGTTGACACTCTTCTCCTGAGTGCTCCCTGGGGCCCACTGCTCTCTGGGGACTCTCTTGTGTCTGAGCACATGCAGAGGCCAACCCAGTCACAGCTGATGTGCAGATGCAGCACCAGACGTCACAGGATTCCCACTTCTGCATTCCTTCCCAGCTGATGGACAACACCCCTGACTTGCCACTGACCTCACTGGCTTGTAGGCAAGGCTACAGACACTTACCAAAGCACCTGCGGCCATTGTCAGACAGGACAAAGCCAGGGGGACAAATGCATTGGAAGCTGCCAGGGGTGTTGGTGCAGGTTCCAAACAGGCAGATGTTGGGCTCCTCTTCGCACTCATTGATATCTGGGAGCATGGGGGACATGAGAGGGTATTTATTACACATGGACTTGAACAAACATTGTAACTCTTTCCATTACCATTACACTGGTGGATATAAGGGCCATGTGGAGCTAGGAGTGGGGTAAGTCTGACCCCTCTGGGAAAATGGGAAGTAGCACCTACAGCCCATTTCTTGGCAGGGTCTATTGGATAATACACTTCTGTTAGCCTTGCAAAGCACTTGCCTGGTCAGCACTGCCCACTCCTGAGACTAAGCTTGTCCCCTCAGCCCATCTTCCCAGCACAATGCAGGGTGCAGACACTGTGCTGCTGCCCCTAGGGCCCAATGTCACCTGGTATCTGACCTGCTCCAGACATCAGAAACCAGGAAAGAGAGAAGTAAGCAACAATGTGAGTTGCACAGTCTCACAGCACTCCATGAGAGGCAGGGCCATGGGGCTCTTCTCCTACTGCACTGTGCAGGCCCCTCCTTACACAAAGATAGAATCAGTGGTAACTATTCAGGGAGCTGTGGCCCAGCTGGCCAGGCCTAATTATGCCCATTAGACTGCAGCAACATGCACATCTTCCCCAGCCTCCCACCTGACAGTTCACTATAACGAAAATCCCCCCAGTGACTGTGAGGTGAGGCATCTATCAAACACGTTTTTTCAGAAGGTGCCAGGCCCCACTTCTCTGCTCCTAATTTGCTGCAGAGATGAGGTTTTGGGCACTGCCCATATCTCTGCTGCCCATGAAATGCTGGCTCCACCAGATGGGACAGTGGTTACTGTCTGAAGGCATGGACAGTACTGGACCCTTGGTACCGGAGACTGAATAGAGGAATCAACGTTACCGATGCAGTTGTCATTCTGCACCTCGTACCCTGGGGGACAGATACAACGGAAAGAGCCTTCCAGGTTTTGACATGTTCCAGGAGAACAGGTCCCAGGCAGGCTCACACACTCATTAATGTCTGCAAATAAACAGAGGGGAAAATGACAGATAAATCTTTATAAAATGAAAGCACCCAAAGGGTTGAGCTCTAGCTGCTTGGAAATGTATGCTACTTTGGCACACATGGGAGTGTTCCAGGCAAAGACTGATGCCCCAAACATGCTCCTGCCCAACAGGTCCTGCATGGGCTGCAGAGGAAATGGAGCCCTAGAAAACTCCACTTCCTTCTTGTAAACCTTAAGGGCAAAGGTCCCAAGTGAAGTACTCACTTTGCAATCTGCAGCTGATGTGCCCACAGCTACGCACTAGGTATTGGAACCTCTTGCACAGAGAAACAGGGAACGGGACATTTTACATATACACGTGTCCCACACTGCAACCTTAGCAGTGTAACCAGGTGCCTGGGTTAGTAACAACACATCCTCCTAGCCAGACTATGGCAAGATCATGACACCCCAACCACAGGATAATGCCAGCGTTCAAATTAATCCCTTAAGGGACTCAGGCTGAGAATATAAGGGGCTCATGGTCTCCCTGATGAATACGATTATGGTTCTCTGCAATACCTGCTGTCTAGGAGACTCTGTTTACCTGCAGTTTGCACAATGTGGTATTGGACATAGTGCAATCTTTGCCTGTCTGAGGCAGGGAGAGCCTCAGGTACTGCTGGGAACAGCGTGTGTGGCTTTCGGTAGTCAGTCAGATGACAGGGCTTTGGCTGTGGAGGTTATCTTGCCCTGCAGGTGGCCTGGGATTTCTGGCCCTAAAAGTGGTCTTGATTCAGGGAATGAAGCTGGGAAATTTGCTAGCCGATCCCTCTGAGAGAAATAAACTTAGAGAAAAAAGTCTGTCCAAGAGGACTGGATCAGCACCTTCATTTTTTACTAAAGCGGCCTCTGCAATAAAACAGTCAACTCTCTGTAGCTGAGGTGTATGTGCAGTGGTGCATGAACTCAACCCCTCCCTAGTCTACAAACACTGGGCACTGGGAGCTCTCCTTGCGGGGACTAGAGCTCCACATCTCATACCCACAATGTCTCTCAAATTTGAGTTTTGCCAGTGCCCAGGAGTTCTACATGCACCACAAGGAGTAGAGACCATACGTTATGGGGTGCTTTGCTAACAAAAAGCTGGTTGACTCATGAGTAGGAGGTACCTGAGCATTATAGTGCTATTACCCAAGATGTGCCCAGACACTCACCAACACAGTTCTTCCCATCTGGGGTCCGGTCGTAGCCTTCCTGGCACAGACACTGGAAGGACCCAATGCTGTTTATACACTGGCCATTCCGACACACCTGCCCCACCAGGGACGAGCACTCATCGATATCTGCACAGAGTACAAAAGATATGCACAATGGAGTACGAGATGCAATGCAACAACCCCACTGGGTTGACTGTATGCCACCCAACTGTTTTCTCTACAGCTGTTTTTGGGTGTGACACCAAACTAAATAGTGATACACCTGCAACTGTGTGTGACAATAGACTCTAATACTTCTGGAGCTGGCACTGTGCATGCTCTTACCCATGCAATCATTGTTGTGTGTTAGCTCAAAGCCAGGGAAGCACAGGCAGTTGTAGGAACCCACTGTGTTCTTGCAGGTGCCATTTCCACAAGGCTGCCGGTCACATTCATCAATATCTGAAGAGAAAAGCAGGACAACAGGTCAAGGGCTAAGCCATTTCTGGCCCTGGGCCTGTGCGTTCAGTTATGGGAGGGATGGCTGCTTGATTTGGCAAGAGTTAACATAAGGACTCACAAACCTTGAATCAAGGTAATATATTGGCTTGCTTTCTGCCAGGCAGTGGCAACAAGCCATTCAGTCCCCAGAAAGTTTTTACTCCCACACTAGAACAGGTTTAAATGTCACAGAATTTCAAAGCAGCCCAGTACAACATTTGCATGGCTGCTGCCCCATCCTCACTGACCCATGCACATGGTCTGCTCTCCTGTGGCTTTGAACCCGTTGTGACAGACACAGATATAGCTGCCCTCAGTGTCAACGCAGTCACCGTGGCTGCAGACGTTGGGAATTTCCTGGCATTCATTACGACCTGCAACAAACAATGCAGAAAATAAGGTACAGGAAAGACTCCAACCAAACTGGAAATGCAGCTCCTCTGTTCAGAAGGGGGCACTGTGCTTGTTTCTGGGCCGTTACGGATTAGCTAGCAGGCATTTCACTAAACAACTGTGATTTCATCTCTCGTAATTTTATCCCAAGTCTCACAATATTCGACAGTTTCTTAAAGCCCCTTTCTCCTGGATTCAAGAGAATCTGAGTTTTCATGTCTAAAAACAGTAAGTTTCTAGCTCTCCTGGTTATGGGAAAACACTTGTAAGTGTGACCCCTGAAAGCGCTACTACCAGAAAGCAAAGAGCAGCAGCCAGAAAAAGTCCCCTGGTGCTGCTCCCCTGCCGTGTTCTGCCAGCCTCGTTGGGGGGCAGGGAGCAGGGAGTTCACAGCCACCCTTGCAGCACTCAGTCACTGCTCCCACACATGCACACATCCCTTTACACAATCTTGGATCCACCTATGCCCCATGCAGATGAATACAGCCCAACAGCAGCTCTGTAGGGTGAGAATCAACCTAGTCAATGTACTCTTGTAGTTCCTAAAGTTCACTCCAGGCCTTGTTGTAGTATGGAACTAATCAGGACTATCTCACTATGCAGGCTGATTTTAGCACAGTCTGAAATTTAAGAAATGCTCATATCTGGTCAGCTGTATATTTGGATCGCATTGATCCAATGGCTATGAATTTGTCCTGAACTCTCTACCTACTCCCTGCTCTGCCCTACCAGTTTTCAAGATTATCTCCTTTCATATGTGGGTTTTGGAGCACTCTGGAGTCAGCCTATAGAAATAACTAAGTGTGTAGGTGAACACAAGTCCCCCCGTCCTTGCCATACTTTAGCCCTAATAGATGAATGGTTAAATGGTTAGGACATTTACCCAGAAAGCACAGGTTGTATCTCCCCTACAGCTTCTTTGCCAGAAGGGGTTTTGGCTTGTGACTTCTCAGCACAGTGAATGAAATATCCAGCCAAAGCTGAAAAACCGTTTGAAAAATTCCTGACTTGTGACCTTGTGGTTAATGCACTATGCTAAAAGCTTGATAAAAAAAAAAACAAGTTCAAAACTTCTTTTTGGGATGGGAGTCCTAGAACCCAGGTTTCCTGCTCCTTGGACAAGTGCTTTGACCACTTAATTCACAGACCTGAACTATGAGAGGATCCTTCTCCTCTTCTTACACCTGTTAGTCGTGGATTTTTGTTTGGCTGCATCTCTGTGATTTAGGCAGTTACGCTCCCAGAATGGCCGTGCAGACTTCCGGACCAGTGCAAAGCTCACTGAGCATGCTCAGTCTCTTGATACGCCCCTGCAGCATGGGGTAATAGACTCACTACCTGCATGTAAGTACTACAGATGTCACTCCCACTGCTAGACAGCTGCCATTTAGATGCACAAAGGGAAGTAAAATTCTACCTTCAGACATTCAGCTGTCAGGCAGATGCTTGCCCCCTGGGTCTGCTTCGCTAGTGCACTCAAGCAGAGCTTGGAGGATACCAGAGGCATTTCAGCCTCCCAGTGATTACCCCTTGCACAGCCACCTTGCACAGACTAGTTTTTCTAATGTGTATTTCAGACACCAGATCACTACAGCATTTCCACAGCGGTCTCATTCCTCTGCATCCCTACAGCCCTACTAAGCTTGGTGCAGCACAGTGACAGTCTGTTAAAAAATCCTGGGATCCGTAGTCATGAATATGCTGAGAACAATAACATCCTTTCTCCATTCCAATGCCATGCAAAGAAACCAGGGAGGAAGTTCAAGCACACACCGGTCTCCTGACTCTGGTCCTATGCATTGTTTGAGCATTCCCCTGGTATAGATTGTGAACAGCTCCCATCTTACCCACACAGGCTCCACTAGGCGACAGCTTGTATCCAGTTGAGCACTCGCACCTGTAACTGCCTGGGATGTTGATGCAATCAGCATTGCGCTGGCAAAGATTCTCACCACTGCTGCATTCATCGATGTCTGAAGAGAGAAAGAAATCACTGGCACTGACTGCACAACTCCCCTTGAGCGTGCCACAAGCAAGCATCGGAGAACCTGCTCAGGAACGGGACAAGCACCACCAGCAGATTGAAAGAACATTTTCAGTTCTTCTAAAATATTTTCCCTAAAATATGCTGGTTGCCACATGGAAGGAATTTTTCTTTTCTTGTTGCTACAGGTGGTGGTGGTGGTGGGGCAGGAGGGGTTGTTTTGTTTTTTTCTGTCTTTCTCAGAAAATGTGGGTGCTGGCCACAGCCAAGACTAGGGGTACTGGACTGGGATGTACTGATGGCTCTGCTGGGACTAAAACACCTGAGATTCCTGATTAGAGAGTCTTGCCCCTCTGGTCACGGTCAGACTGATTGCCACATTTGAGATCAGAAGGGAATTTTACCCTGTGGTCAAATTAGCATGGACTCCTTTTCTCTGTAGTGGGGGACATGTCCCTCTTCCTTGAATCTCTCAAGTGTGTTTTTTAACAACTATTTCCTGTCCTTGCAGCAGCAGGACATCAACAGAGCACTTGTCCCCCTAGTTTACCTGTGACAGGTTAGGGTGCTCTTGGTGTTTGTGCCTGGTGGTTGTGCAACAGGGCTGCTTGTATAGTTCTAAGAACAGGTTAGACAAACACTTGTGGAGGATAATTTGGATAGGGCTGATCCTGGACTCGATGACCTCCTGAAGTCCCTTTCAGCCCTATTTTTCTATGATTTTATGAATTGAAAAAAAATACGGAGATTGTGAATGCACATGCTTTGTATGATTTTTTGTTTCTGAAAATAGGAAATACGTTTTAGTTCTGGGACTTAAAACAAAGAATGTTAACATCTTCCCATTTCTAAATCTCTGATCTCAAAAAGAGGAAATGATATATGAAAACATGTTAAGATCTTCTTGCATAAAACATACCACTAAAGCTTTTTGAAAAATAACAATCTTTACTTTTGAAGTGGAAAAGGAACATTTAAAAATAAGAATAAAAACCATATGAAGGCTTTGCTTCTTGTCATAAAAATCCTGCTTCCAATACCCCATTAGCAGAGATGACTTGAGTGTCATTCCTCATTCGTAGCACAGTCAGGTGCCCCATCACCTACTGTTGGGGACCAGCACTACTGAGAGCAAAGCATGCAGCTGCTGGCCAACACAGCAACTACCACCTCATTACCTTCACAGATGAGCAGAATATTGTTGTAGCTGAATCCAATTGGGCACTCGCATCGGAAGCTGCCGATCTGGTTAATGCAAACACCATTGGTGCAGATAGCAGGGATCTCACTGCACTCATCAATATCTGCAAGGAGAATCACATCCCCATCAGTAATGCAGGGAGATGGGGGAAACGGAAAGCATCAGCCCAGGGTGGGAAGGAAAGAG